CTTCCACGCATGCGGAGAACGCATACAGCGCCTGCGCGATCCTCCAGGAGCAGCTGGAGCATCGCGCAGACGCTAGTACGCGTGTGTGCGCGAGGACGCCGCCAGCCTCGTTCCAACCGAACCGGTTGGAACGGGGCAAGAAACCCACCCCTGCATTTATATCTCAAAAACTCTGGAAAATTCATTCGCAAACTACAACATTTAAGGAATTTTTCATATTAGTTCCCTTAGCTGAAAGTTGCTAATTCCTGGGTTCTTTTTTCAGTGCAAGAACTGAATAACGGTGAAGACACCGTTGATATTTTGTTCACAGATTCTTCGTTCTGAGAGGTCAATTTTATATATTCAAATATTCTAGCTTCTAGCTTCCAATGAGTACAGTAATAACCCTGCCATACAGCTTTTGCTGCTTCAGAGTTCCCATTTGATGCACCTTAAGTGAAACAGTAGTTGAGTTCATGTATGCATGCAAAGAAAAGGTTAGAGCTCTCCAGGAGGGCTGCATTTGTGATCGCTTCAATCTGGCAAGGTCAAAGACTGATGTTTTTCTTAGGATGAAAAGTAGGACTTCATCAGTCTTCACATTCTTAAGAAGTAGGACTGTGGTGTTTTAGTGGCTGGGTAGAAAGCCATCCAATGAGAATGGAACACTTAAGCCTTTCCACTATTTTTCTTCAAAAACAAATGTTAGTTCTTGAACCTTTTTCTTTTTTGTTGAGGGGGAAAAAACAATGCTGAAATACACATCATGAGCCTAGCAATGTTCTTTAAAAAAATCATACCCAAAAAATCACACACACTGAAGCTTTCAAAAGAAGGGGTAAAATTATAGGTCTGTTCTCTCTAATTAAAGCAGAAACTCTGCATTTATTTCAGATCAAAATATATTCCTACTCAGTTATGTACATAGGGCTTCAGGGTTTTGAAGTCTACAGTGTCTTCAAACTTGGTGCTATATAGTAAAAAAAAATATATGAGTCGGTACCTCTGAGAAGGGATAACAAGATAGCTTCCCATACAGGGTCACCCCCCCAAAAAAATGGTTCAGAATTCAATAACCAAGGAAATTATTTAATACCAGTTCTTACACAGAAAAATTCAGAAAACGGGAACACTACATTTCCACAAGCAAGCAAATTGTTAGTTTTTACAGCTCCTGCTCAGAATAAAAACTTACTTACCTACTCACTCACATACATACATACATACATACATACATGTATTTAAGCTCAAAGAAATTGCTGAGCTTCACTGTTTATTTACTACAAGTTGTTCTTCTCTCCCCCCCCCTCTCCCTCCCTCCCTCCCTCCCTCTCTCTCTCCCTCTATCTCTTTCTCTCCATTTTTAGTTGGATCTATAATATCAACCTTTTTATATTGATTTTAATGGCTACCTTATACACAAGCAAATGTAGTCTTCACTTTTAAACTAAAGCCGTTAGAAATATAGGACAGCATCCTATACACATTTTGAACCAAGAGAAGGTACACGAATCTTAAAGAAATATTTTTCTGACTCCATTTAAGAATTTGATTAACTGTTACCTA